TTCTTTGGGAACTGTGCTCTGTATCTTGCCCATCTTTCTATCCACAGCCTCCCCACTCTTCATTTTCCACTCAAGAACTGCTCGATAAATGTTGCATGAACAATTAAATTCCAGAAAGCCAGATTTGTACAGGCTGTTCCAGAGGCCTAAAAAACCGCTATTTTATATGTAGTTGGTCTCAAACTCCTTCCTTGAAATAGCCCTGATAAAGTGAATGTTTATAGGTCCTGGCCAGGTAGCTCAATTGGTTAGAGCATCATCCTAATATGTCAAGGCTGTGAGTTTGATCCCTGGTCAGGGCACATGCAAGAATCAACCAATGAATGCATAACTAGGTGGAACAACAAATCAATGATCCTCTCTCTCCCTTCCTCTCCTTCTTTAAAATCAATTTTAAAAATTAAGTGAATGTTTTCATAGAGGAAACAGCTTGAAGCAACTGGGAATTTCCTTGAAGATACATGTTTTCTCTGAAAACTCCTAAAAAAATTGTAACCTACTGTGATATTGATCTGGGTTCATCTTATTTCCATATAATACTATAATTTATTTACCATTTGTTTTTCTGTTTTCTCCCAAAAATCTTGAGACAAAATTTATGCTTCAGAAAGGGGCTCACCATCAGTAGTATGTGCGTCTCAGTTTGAGTAAATGATATGGGAGTTGACATTGAAGTAGTTGCCTTACAAGATATTAAGGAATTTGTTAGCCTGCAAGATACTATGACAGCATTCTGCCCCTGGTGGGTGGCATATTTTAATTATAGGAGAGACTATATGGAAGAGTTCTGTCTACTTAATTTAGAAGAGGCAATATTTTCTAGTTAGGTAGCTAGTTCAGTGATTGATAATAAAACAAAACAAAGGCTTTGGAGTCATGCAGACCTGGGTTGGAATCTTGGTTACACTGCTTGTTCAGAAATTCTGACTTTATACACATAAACCTCTCTAAGCTTTAGTTTCCCACCTATAACACGGAGATTGGAAAAGTTATAGTACCTGCCTGATTGGGTTGTTGTAGGTATTGAGTGAGCTATTGCTTGTTTTTTGTTTTTTTGTGGGGTTTTTTTTGAAGATTTTATTCATTTACCTTTAGAGAGACGGGAGAGGGAGAAAGAGAGGAACAGAAACATTGATCAGTTGCCTTTCAATGCTTCTTACATGGACCCAACTGAGGAACTGGCCCGCAACCCAGGCATGTGGGCTGATTGGAAATCAAACCAGCAAACTTTTTGGTTCACAGGCCGGCGCTCAATTCACTGAACACACCAGCCAGAGCTGAGTGAGCTATTGCTTGTATTGCCCTTGGCACTGTGGCTGGTACATAGTAAGTGCTCAATAAATAAGTAGGCCAGAGACCCAGACCAGCAAACAGGTGAATACAGTCCACAGCAGGAAGTGCTGTGGCACCCTGACCAGTGTGACTCGGTTGGTTGGGTGTTGGTCCGTAAGGCGAGAGGTTGCTCATTTGATTTCTGGTCAGGGCGCATGCCTGGCTTGAGGGTTTGTGGGTGAGGGTTTTTTCTTCCCTGGGTGAGGGTTTGTTCTTCCCTGGTTGGGGCACGAATGAGAGGCAACAGATTGATGTTTCAAACTGATATCTCTCTCTCTTTTTCCCTTCCTTCCCCTCTCTCTAAAAATAAATAAATAAAATCTTTTAACGGGGAGGCAGAGAAAGGAGTACGTGGCAGGGGATACTAGGGCCTATAGGAACCCCTAAAAGGGTGTTGGGGAAGGTTTCCCGGAGGAACTGACATCTAATTAGACCGACTGAAAGGAGGTGGGGGAGTGTTACAGGCAGAGGGAAGAGCGAGAGGGCTCAGATCATGGCAGGGAGGGAAGAGTGAGAGATAAGGCTGTAAATGGCAGGAGCACTGAGATCATGCAGGACCAGGTAGCCATGAAAAGAAGTTAATCTTTCATCCAGACAGCAGTGGGGATCATTGAAGAGTTTTAAGCAAGAGCAATAGATCAGATACGCAAAACTGAGGGCCAGGAGACCAGTGAGCAGATGGTGTGGCCTGGACTAGGGTCGGCATGGAGGTGGAGGTGGTCACATATGTGAGACATTCAGGAGGCAATGATAACACAGTGACTGAGTGGAGGTTGGTGGAAAGAGATGGAGAGGATGACTCCCTGGAGGTATATGGTGGTGCCTTCCACCCACCGAGACACAGACAGAGAAGCTGGAGCCAGGGCATGGTACGAGGTGTCGAGTTCAGTTTTGGACATGTAGAGTTTGAGGTGTCTATCTGTGAGATAGCCACGTGAAACCATCCCGTAGGCAGTTGGATACATAGAGCTCAAGCCAGGGAAGGGTCCGGGCTGGAAATGGAGACTTGGAAGGTGTGGTCGGCTCAGTAATGGTCCCCCAAAATACTCAGGTCCTAATTCCTGGAATCTAGAAATGTTACCTCATATGGCAAAAGGAATTTTGCAGGTGTGATTAATTTAAGGATCTTAAAATGGGGAGAGTCTCCTGGATTATCCAGGTGGACCCTAATTGTAATCACAAATGTGCTTATAAGACCAAGGCTGAGGGAAATTTGACCACAGAAAACAAGGCAATATGATGCCTTTGCAGACACAAGATGCCCTGGAAGATAGAGGAAGTTGGCCACAGGCCAGAGAATGTAAGGAATGCAGTTCTAAAAGTTAGAAAAGGTTAAGGAAATGGATGCTTCCCTAGAGTCTCTGGAGGGAGTGCGGCCCTGCTGATACCTTGATTTCAGTAGAGTGAAACGCATTTCAGACTTCTGGCCTCCAGCTCCATAAGAGAATAAATGTATTGTTTTAAGCCACCAAATTTGCGGTAATTTGTTATAGCAGCAAAAGGAAACTAACACAGAAAACATCAACAGGAATGGTGTAAAGGAAGCTGGTGGCGTTGGATGGTATCCAAGAAGCCTGGGTAGAGTGAGAAGAGCAAAGTGCCCAGCAGAGGGCTCCCAATGACTCCAGCATTTAAGCTACATTCATAGGAAGAACATCTCAGAAAAGTCCCTGAGAAGGAGCAATGAGAGAGGAAGGAGGACCACCAAGGAAAATGGTTGTCCCAGAAGTCAAGGGAAAGTGTGTTTCAAGAAGCGGGGAGTGGTTAACAGTGCCAGATGCTCCTAGAAGTCAAGCAAGAGAAGTAACTGCCTGTTGCCTCTTAAAAGAAGGAGATCCTAGTTGACCTTAAAATAATTCTGGGTAGTTGGGGTTGAAAACAGACTAGAATGGGTTGAAAGGTGACTGAGGTGTAAAACAGAGTTGTATTTCACACCACATTTGTCCTGCACCTCCCCCAGATTGCACATATTTTTTCAACTTTTAATTTTGCCACACAAGTAGTATATGTTTCTTACAAAAAAGTTAAGATACACAATTAATCAAAAGAAAAAAAATTACGATGTCCTCAAACGGTGGTATTTTAGTGTATATCTTTTCAAGTTTTCTTTATTAAAAAAAAAAGATTTTATTTATTTATTTTTAGAGAGAGGAAGGGAGGGAGAGACGGAAACACCAATGTGTGGTTGCTTCTTGCCCGCGCCCCGCCCACTCCCCCATCCCACCTCACCGGGGACCTGGACTGCAACCCAGGCATGTGCCCTCAACTGCTGGGATCTCTTGGTTCGCAGGCTGGCACTCAATCCATTGAGCCACACCAGCTAGGACTCAAGTTTTCTTTTTTTTTATGCAAACTATACAATTCTCTCAATCACCTTATGGGGTAAAATACCACTAGGCCATTTTAAGAAGAAACTCCATCTTAGAGAAGCAAGCAATTTCCCCAGCTGTACATAGTTGGTCAACAACAACACCAGGATTGTAACTTAGATCTATCAGACTCCAAAGCCAATGTTCTTCACCTCGGTGCTTCCCTGAAAATTTACTTGAAGGAATCTTTTCAAGAGGGCCTCAAGGTCCAGAACTAAATCAATGTAGATTTCTGTTCTGAACCCCATAGGTTATCCACCCAAAGATAGGTGGTTGCCAAGAGGAAGAAGTTAGTGCGTGATTAGGAGTGGCAATCTTTTAGCCCGGTAGGGACAGTGAGCGGGGGTTGAGGGGTGAAAGCCACCAGACTAAGCCAGGGAGAAAGAAGGGCGTGGTTGAGGCCAGGTAAGAAGAACAGGGTTACCGAGCACCTATCGGGTACACGCACGTATTACATTTTTTCCTGGCAGCATCATAACAGAGTGGGCATCAGACTTCCCATTCTACAAAGAAGGAAAGAGGTTCTAAGAAGGGGTATCATTTTTTTGCAAATCACACAGGGGAACCGAGCTACACCAACCCTGGAGGCGGGGCACAAGGCTAGGGGCGGAGCCAAGGGGTGGGTAGGCGGCCCCGACGGCGCGCAGGGAACCGGAGGCTGAGAACTGGGCGTGGGGAGCGAGGGAGAAGTAGTGTGATTCCGGGTGGAGCGGGATCAGGATGCTGGCAGGGCTGGGGGGGGGGGCGGTGCTGAGGCTTAAGGGACGAAGCCAGGGGGACTGGGAACGAAGGGAGGCCCATGGGAGGGAGAACTTGGGGGACCAAGGGGCGGAAAGAAAGGGAACCGAGCACGGAGTCATCCGGAGGGAGGTCTCCGGAGGGAGAAGCTTCTAAAGAGAGGCAGGGGGCGGGGCCGAGGAGCCCAGCGGGAGGGCAGGGGCAGGGCCATGAGCCCGGGACTTAGCTCTCAGGGGCGGGGAATCTAGGGGGCGGGGCCGAGGAGTCCACAGAAGGGCCTGCGACGGCTGTTCAGGCTAAGCTGGGATGGGAGGCTCGAAGGCCGGGGCGGGGCCGAGAAGAGGACTGGGTGGGGAAGCTCGGGGCTCCCGGGGCCAGAGGGAACTCCGCGGTACTCATCTGAGGCAGTCGGGGGCGGGGCGACGCGAAGGGGGTGGGACGTGCGGAGGCCCTGACTTCGCCCGCGGAGTGCAGTGAGGCCAGCCGAGCGCTGAGTAGCCAGCGCGCTCTGCGCCCCGCACCCCACTCCCGCAGCCCCGGAGCCCTCGCCCCGTGTGCACCATGCCGGAGCAGCTCAGCGTCGCCGAGTTCCTGGCCGTCACCGCGGAGGATCTCAGTTCCCCTGCCGGGGCCGCCGCCTTTGCCGCCAAGATGTCCCGGTGCCGGGGGGCGGCACTGGCGCGAGAGGAGGTGAGGGGGTCGAGGCGGGAAGGGTCCAGGGTCGCGGCAGGGCCTTGCCTTGACTTTCACACGAGTGACTGGAGCCGCGTTGGCCCTTAGTGCTCTCCAGAAACCTGCTACCTCCCTAGATCTGTAAGAACCGAGTGCATCTCAAACATCCTCGTCTTCACCGTCGAGGCCTTGGGGAGGGCTGGAGGGACTGTTTGTGGGGGGCCTCGAGGTCACCTCGATGACAGACTTAATAGATCGGAGGACATACCTCCATGCTCTTGGTGACCTGCATCATCGCATGTGTTTGCTCAGCTCTTCACTACATCTGTTTGGGTTTTCATCTTCAGAGCCCCACAAGTTTGGCTCCCAAGTCACTCCCCTTCTGGGAAGCAGGCCTTCCCGCCTCACTCATGAACTTACTTCTCCCTGGCTTCAGGGAGGCCCCCTCCCCCTGGCTGCTGGCTCAGAGACTTGGCCGGTGTTTGTGGAATGAATGCGAATGAGAAGGCGCCAGGAGACGGGGTTCACCTTGGCCTGGCTGTTGGCAAGTTTCTAGTCTCCACCCCCCTCCCCTCTCCTCTTTGTCTTTCCCAGCAACGAGTCCCAGGCCTTTTTTTTTTCACCCTTGCAGGCTGCCCCACCCCATTCCCCTACTCTTTGGGGTTCATTCCTCTTCTATGACCTGCTGCACTTTACTGGGCTTCCCCTGCAGGGAATATTCTAGGACAGACACTCTGCAGCTATGGGCCAAAGGAGAATAAGGTGTTTTTGCAGCTCCCTTTCAGAGGATGCCCTGAATGTGGGCGACGTTTTGGACTTCAGCCGTGTCTCTCACCTTCCATCCTTCACCAGAAGAGTATTGAGCACCTACTGTGTGGCTGATACAAAGCTCAGTAGTACACGATACCCTGGATCAGTGTCTTGGAAAATTTCTCTTCCTCCTTTCCTTCGGCAGGCTGAACCCTCATCTCAGAGCTGTGTCTGTCTCTTTGTCATGGGGTGACAGAGGATTGTGGAAAGAGCATCATCTCTGGGGGAGGCAGGCTGTGTTCAAATTCTGGCTCTGCAGTTTGCCAGCTGGGTGAGCTTGGGCATGTGACCTGATTTGTTTGAGTCCCGCTTTTGGCATCTGTAAAATGGAGATAATAATGTTTACCTTACAGGTCTATGGTATTACATGAGGCAATGCATGTAAGGCATGCATCTTGATAAATGGAATGAAGATGAGGTTAATTGACGGACCTCTTTTGTCCATTTCTCTTGCAAAGTGCAGCCTAGTGTTTTGTACATAGTAAGGGTACAGGTTTTAATTTAAATAAGAAGCCAATGATCTTTGGCTTCCTTCCTTGGGCAGAACCAGTAGTTTGGAGTCCACCACTTATGAATATGGATTGTATTTTACTGGGAGGCTCATAGGGAAACTGCCAGAGTCTCATCCTGAGGAGAGAGCTTCCTAAGGTTTGTCTCCATAGTCTCACGTTTCATGACCCGGAAGAGCTCAGTGCCATGGATACCCCTAGGGTTGTCACAGTTCACCCTCTTCTCTGGGTTGTTCATTGAAATGTTAAATCAGAGCCAGAGCAGGAGAAGCGGCTGTACTATGAACCCTTCTTCAGGGACAGAAATGGCCATTTATGCCCATGCATCTGGCCTTGCCCGGCTGGTGTGTGTAAGCAGTTGTGTGTGCCTGGAGGGGATGGGGGAGCCCTTGGAATGGGCCTGGAGGCCAGAGCAGGCTCAGGTCAGGGCTCCGCTTTGTCCCAATTCAGTCCCGATAAAACCAGCTCTCCTTTGCCTTTGGGGCTTTGGTGTGGTGCACACAGGATTCATTTTTACAACAGAAAGCCTGTGGCACCCACACACGGCTTTACTCCTCAGCATTTCACTACCCAAAAAGTTAGAATCTGACCTTTGGATTGGACTTTCCTGGGGATTCCTGTTTGGTTTTGCATTTGTGTTTATATTTACATGTAGTTTGAAGCTGGCATTTCCCTCCCCTTTTCTGGGCATGACTAACCCACCCCCACGCTTAAAGGGGGGTGAATTTGGCTGAGTCAAAATGCAACTGATTCTTAAAGCAAGTGTTCCAGTCACACCTGGTTTCCTGGGAGTCTCTGTCCTGGGACTTGCAACCCTTTTCTGCAGTCCTGCTGGGAAGGACCCTGGGCAGGTCACAGGAATCTAGAATATCGGTACTGAGGAATTCTTTAAGATAGAGATCACCTAGGAGGGCTTTTATTTGGCATCGGGAAACTGATGTTCCAAGAGCACAAGAAATTGTTCAAGCTCCCACAGCTGGGTAGGAGAATTATCATTTCTACCCAAATGTTCTAACCTCTAGTCCTATTCTCTTTCCTTCTAAAGTCCAACTGCCTGTCTTCCCTATGTAACTTCGCTGAATTTCAGTTATTTTATCCTTACAGCGCGTTTAATCATCCCTCCTTGCTTATCTCTCTGGGTTGTTGAAGTTTTTTGTTTTTAATTATGAAGCACCATAGAAATATGAGGGAGCCTTAAGGAGACAGATCATCATTCTGTCAACCACCTTTTTCCTGTCCCGGCCCCTTTACATCCATCATCTCATTGATAGTCACAATAACGTAAGTTAAAATGGGCCCAGGGAGGGTAAGGCAGTTGCCTCGTGTCACATAGGGGGTCTGTCTGACTCTAAGGCCTCTCCATTTCTCCATGTCATCTTTGTACTAGACACCAAGGACATTAAGATGCTGCTCTCTTTTGCTGGCTGGATAGGGAGATGTAGCCTATCTTAGGGAGATGAGTAGGAACCCTAGGAATCTGTCCTGAGTGCCCAGAGAAAGGTACAGTCAGTGCCATAAGAGGCCAATAAAGTGCAGCAGAAAGAGAGCAGTGAGGATTGGTGCAATCAGGGAGAGCTTCCTGGAGGAAGTGACACTTCCAGATGGATATTGAAGGAGGGAAGAACTCTCCCCACCCCAAGATTTTACTTATTTATTTTTAGAGTGATGGGAAGGGAGGGAGAAAAAGAGGAAGAGAAACATTGATGTGTGAGAGATATATTGACTGGTTGCTTCTTGCAAGCCTCCAACTGGGAGCCTCGCCCGCAAGCCAGGCATGTGCCTTGACTGGGAATCGAACCAGTGACCCTTTGGTTTGCAGGCTGGTACTCAATCCACTGAGCTACAGCAGCCGGAGTGGAAAGAATGTTATTAAGTGAAGAAAATAAGTGAATGAATTTTGAGAATGGTGGGAAGAAAGCATATTCAGGGGTCAAGTAAGCCATTTATGCTATATCGTTCATTTCAAACTGCTAGTCAACTTTTATCTCCTAGTGGGTCTCAAATGAAGCAGTCCATCATAAATAGGAGATCTTCAAAGGCTTGTGAGAGAGAGAGATCTATATATATATACATGTCTATATTTTTTGAGATTTAATGAAGTTTTAATTGCACAAAGGACAATAATTTTTAATTAAAAAATTTAAAAACATAACTGAAAAGTCTAAAGTCACCTCTGACTGTGTCTCACAATCCCTATACTCTCCCCAAAGGTACTTGCTGTGGAGATGTGCATGCTTCCCAATGTGTGTCCTCAGAGAAAAGTATGTTATCCGGGAGGAAGTAGCGGTTAGGAGGAATATTTGCCTAAATTGGTATCATGTCTTTAAATCCACAGGTTTAAATTTTATTGGACTCAAATTTACCTTTTCCTTTGTGACTTTTGCCTTTTGAATCTCGTTTAGAAAGGATTTTGTTCTTAATTCTTAATTTTCTTGTGAATTTTACATTCTGCTTTGTCTATATTTGTTTTACCAAAAAATAACAGGAATTATGTAATCTTAGAGATTGTTTGTAAGAAACATATAAACCCTCTCAAGCTTGTTTACACTGAGGGGAATTTTGTTTGAAGCAATGAGAGGTGCCTCACGGGCCTGAGAAGCCGTCAGTAACAGTAGACCTCACCAGGGCCTTGCTAGAGGCTGAAAACTCCCCAGGGCCTCAGGGAAGGCTGGGAAGTCGGTCAGAAACAAAGGCAGCTGCTCCATCATTCTCTCTGTCTCTTGCCTCTACTTCTTTCTGCATATCTGAAAGGTGCTTTTAATCACTTGTCATCACACAGACCCCAAAGGATATAACACAGTCTTCTGTGGAAGACAGGCACTTTTAACACTCACATTCATGTGACCACACTGGTCCAGCCTCTAAAGGTAATCAAGCCAGTCTTCTGTGCCACATCCAAGTTCTTGGCAGAGAGGTGAATGGCCTGACTCAGTTCTGGATTGGTTCCAGAAGCCAGGTCTCCACCTTGGTGTCATCAACAGAGGTCATGGAGGGATAGATGTGGGCAGGGTAAACATGGCACAGATCTACACTGTGGAGGGGTTGGAGGGGTACACTTCTCAGAGAAGAGGGGCAGGGCCTAGAGAGATCCCCCCACGTGTCCTAGGCAGTTCTGCTTCATTTGGCACAACCTAGGATCTGGGGAGAGACACTGCTCATCCTGTTTTGTGCCCACCTAGTTACCCAGGTATAGATGAACCCTAGTTTGGAAACCTCAAGTGTAAGAGACTTAGCAAAATGGATTGGAGAGCTCACTGGATACAGCACAACTTGGAGGGCCTTGGATGCCAACTAGGCATTTGGGGTTTTTGCTGGGCAGTAGGGACCAGTAGACCTACTCATGTTGCAATGGCTAAGGCTGGTCCTGCTGCGGACACAGCAGCCAGCATAGTGCCTGGGGACTATTTCTTTCCAGGCCCTGTATTAGGCACTGGATAACAAACACATAGCTCATCAAAAGAGATGCTCCATTGAGCTTGTAGTCATCTGGAGAAGTCAGGTAGTAAACAAGTAAACAAACTAGTCAGTAATTGCACGTTATGATTAAGTGGCATGAAGGCTGGCTCATCCTTCGGGTCAAGGCCTCTCTTGACGTTTAACCCTGTGTCCACATCTCTTTGCGTGCTAGAGGTGCACAGGGCACCTCACCGCAGGCCGTCTCACCCGCTTCCACGGCTCCAGTCCTCTCCCATCTTTAGA